TCGCTTAACTTGTTACTCAATAATAGGCAGATTTAATTTCGTAGTTAAGTACGTTAAGCTTTACTGACTGGCAACATGCTGGGGCATTGAAAGTATTTTATTTCCAAAAATGCTAAAGCACAGCTTTAAAACAGTAAAGTTTTTAATTAAAATTAACATTTCCTTCAACACAGAATTCTCCTACTAAACATCCCACCTTGGTTATATTTCGCATCTGACTACTGAAATGCTTGATTTGTTAGTGATTATTCTTTTTGCGGGTTTATGCTTCGACCTTATTCCAAGGTCATCATTTTTACAATGTGAACCACAGTAAACGGTATAGTTAATTATTGCTCTGTACAGAATTGAGCATTTGCCCAGAAACCTTTAATAAAATAAATAACTAAATTGAAATTAAATCATTAGTTCTTAATAGGGGGACCGGAAGTAATGTTTCTGCGCATGTCGACAACAACATGCTAAGGGCAGAAGTGGAAGCAAATCCATGTCAAACACTCTTAACCAAACTTGGTCGACCATCCAAGAACATTTAAAGCAGAATGGAAAAAATAAGCAAAGCAGGTGTTTGAGTCACCCATAATCTGTCCGAAAAGAACAAAGCCAAACTATCCATCGCATGCAACTTATTGCTTCAACGCCATCATACAAAACCGTTTTTTGATCGTTTTTGATTAGTGGAGACAAAAAATTAAGTCCTATATGATAATCCAAAACTCAAAAGGCAGTTTAAGGTTACAAAGGGTTTACATCCCGAAAAGGCGCTTCTGGGTGTTTGATGGAGTATTCGCGGAATTGTTCATTTTGAAATGCTGAAACCTGGAAAATCTGTTAATGTAGACCTTTATTGTGAACAATTGGATCTAGTGAACCAATCTTTAATTGAAAAATATCTGGCGATTGTCAATGGAAAAGGCGTCATTCTGCAACACGACAATGCAAGACCCCACTGTGCAAGACGAACACTGGAAAAATATAATGAATTGGGGTGGGAGGTACTGCCTCAACCACCATATTCGCCCGATATCGCACCCTCGGATTTCCATTTATTCCGATCCTTACAACATTTTCTTAGTGATAAAAAATTTGGATGATGTCCAAAATGCCATCTCGAGATATTTTATTCAAAAACCAATTAATTTTTATCGGTCTGGGATTGAAATCGGCATACTAGATGGCAAAAGGTTGCTGATAACGAGGGTGATTATATTATTGATTAAAAATAAAAACTTGTTACAAATTTATTCGTTTGAATTTAATGTAAGAAAGCGACATTACTTTCCGGTCCCCCTAATACATTTTGCGGAATGGCAACAATAAGGTAAAACAGAGATAAAAACGTTTACTTCGAGTAATGTTGTCACTGCTAACTTTCAAATCTCTCGGTCGGTCTGTTAATCAAAATTTATTAAATTCGTAAAAAAAAAAAAAAAAAAAAAAAAAAAATCTGAAATGTTTCAGATTTTAAATTACGTCCAAAGGGGCGTTTTTTAACATTTTGTGTGTTACCTTTCTTTATTAAATATCATGTTCCTCGCACTTAAACCATAAGATCCAGTGCAACAGCAATATCGCAAAATAGTTTTAAAAAACGAGCATATCTTTAGAATTTCCGATACAGAGACTCACGCGCTGGAGATAAAAATGTTTTTTCTGCACAACGTTGCCATTGCTCGCTTTGAAATCCTTGAGTTTGTTAATCAAAAATTCGTCAAAGTTTTAAAAAATAGGAAATCGATCATAAAACAAATTTCAAATTTCAAATTTGGTCTTCCACATGCTCATATTCGTTGGAGGATTACGTTATTCAAAATTCGATGACTCTATGTACCGTTGTTTTATCACAATACGAGAAATATACATACATTTATGCAGATTTTTCATTATTTAATTTCTTCAAATATAATGCAGGACTCTAACATTTTGTGGCAACAGTTTGAAAAGTGAACCGACATTTATGAGTCCGACGCAAAATGCCAAAACGAAACTAATAGTCCTTCGGGATTCAAATCCCTTTGGACTTAGAAAAAAAAAAAAAAAAAAAAAAAAAAGAAAGAAAATCTAAAATGTTTCAGATTTTTCATTACTTAATTTCTTCAAATATAATGCAGGATTCTAACATTTTGTGGCAACAGTTTGAAAAGTGAAACTGACATTTATAGGAGTCCGACGCAAAATGCTAAAACGAAAGTAATAGTCCTTCGGGACTCAAATCCCTTTGGACTTAAAAAAAAAATTTAAAAACTCAAAATTTGGACTTCGATATTCGGACTTGGATATTCTATTTGTACTCAGAATCTGATGGATTAAATTGATTGCTATATGTTTTTATAAATTTGTACAAATATTTCGTACGCACGGCATTTTAAAAGGAGTTACACAATTTTGCATATCATTATAAAAAACATTAAATTAGCAACATTTATTGCCGTCCAAATGTATCTGCGTAATACGATGCAGCAATGCAGACAGTTACAGCATTTACACTGCGGCTCATGAATCACAACTACCGTAACTTTTCAACTTTACGCCAACTTGGTATAAGAACCGATCAATCACAATGAAGTAAACAACAACTGAAATTTATTATACAACATAGCTGAGTTAGCTGGACATTTTACACTTGCGCAACTGTAACTTCTCTCTGATTGGCTACAGTTTAAACTCCATTACACTATGAACAGATTTAATGAATTTTATATATTAAGCCCCAAAGTCTTAAGACTGAAAAGCCCTCAACTGAACGAAACCTTAGAAAGCGATTTTGCCCACACATCTGATTGGTTGGGTCTGCTGACAGTTTTTTGAAAACGGATTGTATAATGGATTTAAAATGGCTCAAAAGGCATTTTTTTCGTGACATCTTAAGTACGTACGTATGTATGGATTTATCTCGCATAGCTCGCAAATTATTAGAAGGCTGAAATTATGTATATGGGACTGCTAAAACATCTAGTTCTACATCACCTTTCTGTATTGCAGGTTTTCTTAAACGTTTTCCAGTCGCGACCCCCTTTTTTTCACTGAGATGTTTTCGCGACCCCCAGCACCCCATAAAATTTACAAAACTTTTGTGGGCCCCCATAAGTATTGCGCAAATCCGACACACGCGTGTGTGAAACTGTCATTTTTTTCACTTCTACTCTAATATACTAACTATGGAAGGTTTAGGTCGACATAGAACAATGTGAGAATTTTAAATAAGTAACAGACGAAATGACAGCGTCAAAGCAAGTAAAATGAACGTTTATTTTATAAAAGGAATGCGTCGAAACCGTTTCGTTTTTTTTCTTTGTCTGTAATTGTCTAATTTTTATCTATTTTCAGATACATTGTGTAAAAAGTATTTGGTAATTGTAAAATTATTATAATAAGATAAAGAAATATCAAAACTGCTAAAATTTTTGGCGACCCCCAGTTTAAGAAACCCTGCTGTATTGCAATCGGCAATACTAAACGCATTACCCTTACCCGGCTTACATCCCCTTAATCCGGCTTAAATGTTACCCAGCCTTTATTTTTCGCCTTACTTACCCAGCCATTCATTATTTTCGCAATCGTTTCTTGTAATCCAATTACAGAAGTGCAGTTGTATTTTAAACAACAAAAATATTCATGTTTTTTCAGTGTCAAAATTTTAAAAATATGAATTGTCGACAAATAAGGAAATCAAACTTTTAACGCGTTCCCGCGGTTCTTTATACTTATATTTGGTAATCTTTGTTGTTATTGTGACTTATATCATTCTCACAGTAGCATCAGAACAAGCCCACGAAATTCATCGCGGCAAGGCGTGCAAGATTGTGCCTGTCGTTGGCAAAAGATTTGAGCACTATACAGGTGAAAGTACGACTTTTCTTAGTTCCACCCCTCAATTTTAATGAAGCATCCCAGGGGAAGGGGGTCCGTGGATCTCCCACCCCTCTTCCCCTATCACAAATCTCTCGAGAAGACTTTCGGCTCACCGCATATTTAGAGCGCCCCTATGCCGCACAGATATTGCTATGCCGCACAGATACTATACATTTACAAATACCCATGCCTTATACGGAATTCGAACCCGGTCCCTTCGGTACAGCAGTCTTTTCTTCTTTCCTTTTATGGAATGTCTATTCACAAAGATTTTACGAGCTGTAATACACAAAAATATTAACTCATTATCTCAAATCAATAGAAAATATTAAAATTCTTATTCAATTATTCTTTGTTGTGTAGCTGAGATGGCAACGATTTGTAAAACAATTTAAAATGGTATCTTAAGATTTAAGACTTATTTAGGAAAACAAGTGAGAAGATATTTTTATATAAATTAAAGTCTGTAAATTTTAAGATTTCAATAATAAAATTAAGAGAAAGTCACAGTTATTATTATGGTCGAATTTCATGATTTGCATTCTGCAGAAGGCATAAGTTGCTTATTTTAGTTATATTTTAATTAATTATTTTTTATTATTACTCTGGCTTATTATTTTCAACTTTACCAATGATATCAGCATTTTGGCAGAGTTTCGCAAGTTCGCTTATTTAATACGTTAGAAAATCAGGAGCTTATCAGTTTTACAGTATTCGAAAAATTCGAGAAAAGAACATCCAGTCTGCATTCCAACTTGACTGTTCTCAAATTAAAAGGCTTTCCGATATTACTAATATCAAGTTATAATTTACCCTATAATCGCACTTCGTCTTACATATGCATATGAGTATAGAAATGTATCCAGTGATAACTTCATTTAACATATCTAATTACAACATTTTCTTATTTATAAATATTAAAAATATTTTATTCTCATATATTTCATGAACACCAGCTGCAGTTCCATAAATACCCTCTAAATTGATGAACAATACAATAAAAGCGAAAGGAGCCCTTCAGAATTTAGCGGAGGCGGAGCCTGTGAAGCCTACTTTCACTTCTTATTGGACAATGCGAATCAGTGACGTCATGTACATTTGAGAAAACTCTAGTTAAATATGCGAGAGCTGAGCATGGTTTTGTGAAAACTGAGAGCAAGGAGCAAAGCTGGTATTGGAACCTATTCCGGAAAAATTGCAATGGGCAGAATAACACTTATGGTACCCATTTTTTGTTTCTTCGTTGTATTAGCGTCCTGCCACTTCAGGTGAGCTCATTTTTTACTTTTTTAAGTTTCTCTATCAACTGAAACGCCATTGAAATATTTTAAGATTTCGTTTATTCTTTTTATGAAACGAAACAAAAGACAAAGCGAGTTGAAAATTCTATTTCTTTTTCATTTTTACAGATTCTCTAAGTTTTAATATGCAACTTTATAACCATTGCTAGGATCTATGTGCCGTTGCGTTAAGTTCTATATTGGTCCGCACGAGTAATTTAAATTATAGGAAAACGTAATAATTTACATGCAAAAAGTTTATAACTTTTTAAAGATGTGTTTAGCAAGCATAAATCAAAATAGTACTTATAGAAGTGCTAACGAGAATAACGTGAATACTAATACCTTATTATCTCGCGTCTTTTACTCGCTAACTTTTTAACGTCGGGTTATGGAAATATTTAAAATATTCCCTTAATTTTCTCTTTCCTCACTGCGCTTAGGGAACGATCTCCTCCAAATTTTAAAACGGATTCTTTTACGTAATGATTATTAGCTCAGATGGGATAGTAATTTCAAAACGGCATTTTGGGTCGATTCACTTCTCAAACTGTTGCCACCAAATATTATCGCCATGTATTATATTTAAAGAAACTAAATAGTGAAGAATCTGCATAAATGTTTCTCGCATTGTGAAAAAACAACGGTGCCTAGAGACATCAAATTTTGAATAACGTAGTCCTCCAACCAAAGATGGCCACTTGGAAGCCCGAATTTGGATTTCAAATTTGTTTTATTATTTATTTGAAATTTTGTGAAATTTTAACGAATTTTTTGATTAACAAATTCAACGATTTCAAAGCTAACAATGGCAATAGTGTACAGGAAAAAAAAATACATTTTTATCTCGCGCGCGAGACTGTGCATCAGAAAGTTTAAAGATATGCTCTTTTAAATAATTTGGGATATTGCTGTTGAATTGAATTTCATGTGTTTTAAGTGCGAAAAACATGATATTTAATAAATAAAGGTAACACGCAAAACATAAAAAACGCCCTTTTGGGCGTAATATAAAATCTGATTTTTTAAATATTTAATTTAATTATTCTTTGTTTCAAAGCCGTGGATGAGAAGGATTTGTAAAGCAATTTAAAATGGAATCCTAAGTTTTAAAACTTTTATTTTGGAAAACCGGAAAAATGCTATTTTTTTTTTTTTAATATTTAAAATTGTGAATTCTAAGATTCTAGTAATACAATTCCACAGGATGTTTTAAATCTTATTATTATGAGTTTATTTTATGATTTGCATTATCGGAACTGTTTTAATGTTTAAGGTATGAGAGGAACGTGCTTTCAGACAGGAGTTGCCTAGTTCAGTTATTGTTTATGTTAGTTATTATTTATAGTTGCTTTGGTCATTATCTCCAGCTTTAGCAGTAACATCAGCATATGATTCAGAAAGGCGAAGAGAAAAATGGTGGGAAAAAAAGAAGGGAGAAGATAAAAAGAATTTGTGTGGTGGGGACATGCTCAACTGACCAGTGTTTACGTCCAAAAGTAATGTTTTCGGAAATTAGAGTAATCCAAAACAATCTGGAAGAGATCACCGAGTAGTCAAAAATTGTAGTTCCTTCGGCGCGCTCGACAAGGATTGAACTCAACATTAACAGGTCAGAAAATTCATTGGAGACAGATCATTGAGAACTGAAAATAAGAGCGTTGGACAGGACATAGGTTCGTTGGTTGGTCATTTTAATTTAAATTGGTACTCGATTCGGCAGACAATCGAAGGCTTACTAATTTATTCTCTTAAAGTGAAATTTAAGAAGCTAATGACATTTTTTAAATGAAAAGATTAGGACTTCCATTAAGAAAATAAATATCTTTATACCCATTTATTTAATTAGAGTGCCTCAAATTACTTGATTGCATTGGCGTAATCCTCTGATTCACCCCTCCCTTTCTGCATGATGAAAATATCTAATCAGAATCTTTTGCATTAAAAGACTAATTAAGGAATTCATTTCCTAAATTTCTAATTGCCGATTTAAGAAATATCTAAGAGGAATTATATAGGATCTTCCAAATAGACTTACATGATTTTAATATAAATATAATGAAAACCTTTTCAGATACAACTAAACTTTTTAAATTATTTTGAAGTGCGATTTATGATATTATATACTGAATAAAACATAGTTTAAATATCTACCTCAACTTAGTATACACGAGCGAATTATATGAACCCAGTTTTGGATGAGTCCGGCCTAATGTCACGATCCAGCGTTCGATTATCTTACTTAATGCTTCAAGAGTTTGTGGTTTGTTCGCATAAACTAGAGATACGTATACGTTCGCATAAACTTCGCGAGCCGGAAGTTGTAAGTAATGCTAACGATTGAAAATGAAGTCAAGGAAATTATACAAACTGCAAAAGTAACAGACGGCAAAGGGTTCTCAGATAAGGAGCAAGGATAAATCAAGTCCAGTCGAGAAGACTACAGTGAAATGGCAAATGCAGAAGCGGATGATCTTATAACACATCCGACGGTAAAAGCAGCAGTAATAAAGAAGATAAAGAGCGTTTGGCGTAAAAGAACTTAAACGAATTGTTAAAAAATGCAGAGAAACTGTCTGATTTTAAAATGGAGCTTGACCCATTATAAAATTAGACAAATGAAAAGTTTGAGAGAGAACCTTCGAAAACCTCTGCACTCCTTATCACGAAACCTTTAATGAGTTGCGTCAGATAAAAAAATCACCAAGCAAAAGCGACCAGCTATTTAAAAAATAATTGTATCATGTACCTACTTATGAAGCAGTAAAATATCTTTTCAATAAACATTATTCCATTTTTCCTTTTAATTGGAATAATATTTTGGCTTGCGTTATTTACACATACTTTCTTAATCTGAGCGATACCAAACTTGTTTCGTGCTCACCAGCGACCGAGCGGTAAAGTCGCTGAACGCTGGGAGTTCGGTCCCGAAGTTCGAATCCTCCACTAACACATTCCTGTCCTTAGTCAGATAGCCCTCGAGGCTTTGCCGTAAACACATAAACCAAACCAAACTCGTTTATTCCGCAGAAAGCGCAAGTTTGCGATTTTGCTTTACGCGCAATGTGTTAATGACGTAACCCCAGCTTTTGTCAAGGGTTTGTTGTATATTTAAATTCCTTGTGATAAAACATTTGTAGCTTCTTGATATTGTTTCCTTAATAGACAATATATACTTTTCAATGATACTCAGACTCTCGAAAACATTCTTTTTGTTCGTGCTTTTCTCCAAAATTACGTTGCAGCAATTTTCAAAAGTTCCTTGCTGAATACTTTCTTCCCAACTACATGCTAATTCCCTTTGTGGAAATCATTGGAGATGCTCTAAAATAGGAAAATAGCTTGTTTCCTTACTTATGGAACAAGTAATGGGGGTTATAATAAGAGTCGCAATGAAAACTAGAAAACACGTGTCCCTATCTTCCTAGCGAAATGAGTAAACGAAAATTGTTTGCGTTTTTGAGTGACTAAAGCTAAATGCTTCGATGGGTATTTTAAGGATTCAGAATGTAGCTTTGCAATGTAGAGAAAAATTGACGACAAAGGAACCTGTTTTCCTTTAGCAGAATAAACAGTCCATACAAATAATATCCATACAGCAAATCTAAAATTACCCGTCAGATGCAATCACATCTCAAACGTTACTTAATAACCAGTATTCACACATGAAAATGCATTATAAATCGGTTGGGACCAAAAATGTTTGACCTAATTAGCAAAGAAGCTTACTATCTAGGCGAATGATAGCGAGATTTCACTACAATTAAACTTTATATTATAAACCTCGAATAGAAATCATATTAACATACGTTAAAAGAATCTTAGTTGTAATGGAAATAAATGGCATAGCATTAACTAAACAAAATCATTTGGGGCAATAAACTATTCCTTTTTATCACCAGAAATGTTAATAGACTCAATCACCACTTTCTGTTCGATCACGTTTAATATAAAAGGATTGCGCAATGAAATACAGTGGACGGACAAAAATATGGAAACACCTTGTGAAATGCATGTTTGAAAAGAAAGATTGATTTTAATGAAATATGTAGGTGGCGCTGGTGTTTTTGACTACTGACGCCACCTATATAACTTCGTAAATGTGCTAAACAGTTCAGTTGTTGTCGGAGTACTGTCATGTGAGGTTGTCATTGCATTATGTCAGAGTTAACAGACTTCGAACGTGGGCAAATTGTTGGAGCACGTATGGTAGGTGCTTCCGTAAGCAAGGTAGCCGAGGTGTTTAGTGTTTTAAGAGGTACTGTATCGAAGATTTATTCCGCATATTTGAAAAGCGAAAAAACATCATCTGCTAAATCACAGCGCGGACGAAAGTGTGTCCCGAGTAATCGTGACAGACGATCATTAAGGGCAATTGTGACGAAAAATAAGAAGACCACAGCTGCAAAAGTTACTGCTGAAATGAATGTTGTGTTACCGAACCCTGTGAGTACCAAAACAATTAGAAGGGAGCTTCATAAACAGGGAATTGCTGGCCGTGGTGCAATTGAGAAGCCACTCATCAGTGATGCTAATGCCCGTAACAGGAAAAGGTGGTGTTTAAGTCATAAAGCCTGGACTACAGAGCAGTGGAAGCGAGTAATATGGTCTGACGAGTCTTCTTTCACATTGTTTCCCACTTCTGGCCGAGTTTACGTCTGGAGAACGCCATCTCAAGCCTATCATACAGACTGCTTGTTGCCAAGAGTGAAACATGGCGGGGGTTCTGTTATGGTTTGGGCAGCCATATCGTGGTTCTCTGCTAGCCCCATGATAACTGTGTCACGGCACATGACTGCCAAGACTTATGTGAACATTTTGGAAGATCAAGTTCATCCCATGGTACAAACTTTGTTCCCCGATGGTGATGGTGTCTTCCAAGACGACAAAGCCCCTGTTCACACAGCTCACATTGTCCAGGACTGGTTTTCTGAGCACGAGGATGAGTTTTCCCATCTCCCCTGGCCACCACAGTCACCAGACCTGAA